ATTCTGCGTGATCGTATCAAAGAATTGTCAGATCGACTGGAGAACGAGGACAACGAGAAACTTTTGCTGAAAATCGAGGAGCAGAAGAATCGCATCGCCGCTTTAGAGACTGTTTCTCAGGTCTGTCTCTAGGCTGCAGCTGCTTAATTCATCGTCGATTTGTTTTTCACGTTTGCCGGTGTTTTGTAGGGTAACAGCTGTGTTATTAGTCAATTAGAGAAACTGGAAATGACTAGAGACATTTTAGAGAAAATGAACTTAGCACTGGAAGCCGAGAACTTCGAGCTTCGTCTCGAATTGGAAAAGGCGAGCGCTGATACGCCTAGGTTACGAGAGAAGGTGGAGCATTTGGAGAAGTAGGTTGCATAATCCATATTTTACTCAAAATTTCACGTTGGAGTTTGGTTACTTAACACGTTGAGCCCGGCGTCAGTTCCTGAGGACCGACAGTATCAAAGTTAAAAAATAAATGTAGCAATTTTAATGATATTTATTGAAACACTGTAAACAAAAATGTGGTTTGCTTTTGCGAGCATTACAAAACGTGACGACTTTTTTAGTCAAATTTTTGGCTGTCTTGCGTCCAAATAGCGTTGAATTTTTGTCATAACGTCGGCAAAGATAGCAACATCAGCTCCAGGCTCAACGTGTTAAGTATCCAAACTCCAACGTGAAACTTATTAGAGTAAAATAAATTTTGGAGAATTAGGTACCACTGTTCTTTTAATCAGAATACTGTTCTTTACAATAATTTTAACAATATTTCCTCATCTTATACACTTCGAACTCTAAAATTACATACCATAAATCTATTTATAAAATTAATTAGACGCAAATTTGTTCTCCTATGAATTAATAATAAATTAAGCAGTGAGAAAGAACCGAGTGATCTCACAATTCGTCTCTCACATGTAGATACATAGAGCTACTGAAGGTAGAAAAATCATCAGATTCGAGTCCTAGATCCGCAGAGAAGGACTTACACGATCACGGTTCGAAGAAGTCCATCTTGGAGATGGAGAAAACGATCTTCACCTTGAAAAGAATCGTGGAGAAGCTGCAGGTGGAGAACAGGCGTCTCAAACTTGCTTCGAAAAAGAATCCTATTCATCAAGTAGGGTCATGATCGAATTTTTAATCTTATTCGGTGATTATATTTCGTTAATTCCATCGATCTCGCGTGTAGGCTAAATCACTGAACACTCGAAGCGAGATCGCGTTGCGAAATCAGTACGAGGAGGCGCAGAAGCGAATCGTGGCGTTGGAAACCGATTTGCAATTAGCCGAGCAAAGGGTAGCAGGGTTGGAGAAGGTGCAGATGGAAGAAGACAACGGGGAAATAAAAATGTTGAGGGAACAATTGTGTTACAAGTCCGAGCTCCTAGACAAAGTGAAACATTTATTATCGAGAGCAGCCATGAACGAGAGAACTCTTCGACAACGTGTAAATATACATTCTATATACGCGTGGAAAGAGCAGAGAAACGCTCTTCGAGAATTCGAGTTAGAAAGAAAAATACAATACAGAGACGGTATGACGAAACTTATGTAATTTTCAGGTACAGCAACTGGAGTCAAGGCAGACATTGTCTACGATACCAGAGTGTCGTGTAATACCCCCTACTCCGGAGTAAACAACGTCTGGTGAGTAGAACCTTTGGAATGTTTTAAATAATAAACAGCAGTAGTATCGAGTATTTGCTGTCTACTGTCAATCATCAGTAAATGCGATTTCGACATTTCTTCTGTCTCCTGAGTGATGACAGACTTTGACAGAATTTTCTTCCGGATTCTCTAAATATCGTTTTCCCAACCAAAAGTTCTTACTCTACTTTAGACTTGTTAATGTCGATAATACTTCACGATTGGTACTGTGAGTAGCAGTGGGCTATGCAATGTTCACGAATAAAACGCGAGATTGTTTCAATTTATCGCAACTGCGTACGTCACCCTCAGTTAAGGGATGAAGAAACGATCACGAAGGGAAGAAGAGGTACTGCGTGTCTGACAAAGTATGCAATACCACGTTGCATTCGTGCTTAAGATATACACTTCTATCATTAGGATTCCTCTTTGCGAATTCAGGCGACACATACTTTTGGCACGTATTACGTATACTTGACACGAATAATTATTAGTAGCGAGGAACTTATTTCGACCTAGTAGTCGCTGTCTAGCGCTTGGAGGAACGGTTGAATCGAACCCTCATCCTCGCAGTCGGGGATGAGCTTTCCTTTGTACTTGACGCAAGAATCTGCGCACTTCTGGCCCAGGAAGTACGGGCCGAACATCTTCTTGCACTGGGCGCAATTCCTGATGCAGACACCTGGGCATACGATCAGGAATATTTGGTCAAATTAACCAATTCGTTAACGCGGTTGGCCACGCGATTTAGATTTATTTAATCTCTGATAAATTGTCGTTATCCTGCAACGAATCTCACCTATGGCTCGATCGAAGGGGACGCCTCCTGCGGCGAGCATGAAGACCAAAGCGTAGGCGAGGAAGAGCACCAACATAATGCGGCTTGACGTGTTCATGGCTGAAACAGATGCAGGATTAAATCATAATTATGTTCTTAAGGATCAACTAATTCCACCTTTCTACCTCGAACAACGTAATCACTTTCACTTGGACAAGGGGTACGCGTGCCACGGCATTGTGAATTACGTGTCGTCTTCCAGCTGGAAGGAAGATAAAGAAACCAAAAGGATCCGCGATAATGCCAACGCTCGATATCGCGTTCATCAGCTTTTACTCCTACGCGGTATGAGAAGACACGAGAAAAAACGATCAGCTGTGTCCAATAGAACGCGAATCCTAGCGAAGGTAGAGCTATCAGGATACGGGTAGCAGAGGCTGGAGTTAGCCTCTGGCAGGATGCACGGCTCAAAACGGCTTCGATATCATATTCACTTTCCTCGATTAATCACCGGTCTCGGGCAAGTGGTCGATAAGGGGGACGAAGAGGTGCACTGGAGCGAAAGAGACGGCGAACGACATCCATGAACTTTCAGGGATAACGCGCGAAGTTGTCGAAGTCGTCGAGGCGGTCGAGTGCGGGCCCGGAGCAACAGGAACGGGCCCCGCGGTCACACGCGGCCGGTAAACAAGAAACGAGAGACACGCGTGTCTCTTTAATAAGTCCGAATTATCCTTTCTGCTCTGCGAACGCCGATATTTATCGGCCGCGGGGGGCCCCCGCGTCGCTTCCATGTAAATTGCCCCAGCGTGTCCGCTACGTCGGTGGTCACCTTTTATCTCCTCCGTTCTTTTTCTCGCGTCGTTGCTTTTTTCCTCTGCTTATTTTTGTTCTTTTTCTTTCGATATATACCGTCATTTATAACCGGAATCTCGCTACTCGTACTTCCGCGTTCTCCTTAACGGCCACATTGTGAACGCATAAAGATAATAAATATGGATGGAAGGTGTCTCTTATCTCTCCGTCTCGCAGCCGTCTCTTTCACCCGTCTCTCTCCAGGAAGCACTTGAAGATTCAAGACCAAGGATCGATCGATCGATCGTTGTCGCGGCCCGATGTTAACGCACGATCGATCGTTGGAAACGGCAATATCGCGGATCAATGGACCAGGATGTGCTTCGAGTTCGGCGAGCATGGACAATACCGGGAACGAGACCGGGCCCGATCGGTTGGCTAAAGGATAGCCACGTGACCGGCACGAAATGCGTTTTCTCTCTATCGGATCGACTGGGTTCTCGTATTTACCTGGTTGTTGGCGCTTGGATCGAGCCGAGGCTGCTGGAATTGATAAAACCAGACGAATGACACTGAGCACTGTACGATGACGGCCTTATATATCCGTTGAGCCCAGATTCATCCCTCGGACGAGGGAAACCCCGCTGCCTATCTTACCTTAATTCGATTTCTTCGATTTCCTGCACTCTCCTGGAATCGTGCAACGCCTCGCCACGGGATTCTCACGGATATTTCGATCGATCTTTAGCAAGATTGCTTAAAGAGGACCTAACTGTATTCCTCCATTCCTGCGAATTAGACCTCATCCGCTACGACTAAGACAGGCTCGAATAAGACTCTCTTAATTTCTCCCTTGCTTCCATCTGTTACTCACGACATACTCCACGGATACACGAAACATTCCCGAAATACTTAATACACTGCTCGATCCGTAGCATTGAAGATCAGCCTAACGTAACGTCTCCATTCGCGTAGCATGTCGGGATGCCATAATACGCGAGACATCTCGGTGTGATTTCAATCGCTATACCACTATTTCCTCCTTTCCTGCGAATTAGACCTCATCCACTATGACTAAGACAGGATCAAATAAAACCCTCCTAATTTCTCTCTTACTTCCATCTATTACTCTCGACATGCTTAACAGATACATGAAATATTCCCGAAATACTTTATTGTAGTAGAAACTAAATAGTAAAATAGACTCTACCCTCTAGCAATGTGGGGGTGATCCCTTCCCCTGCGTTTTGTCTTTTGACCCCGGTTTTCTGGAGACGTCTTTGACCTATGTGGCCCTAAATACGCAGGCCAGTTCTAACCATTAGCTGGTTTAACCACTTACGCTGGAAAGACGTGCCACGCACGTCGCAATGCTTTTGTGGCAGAATCGCCAAACACGTGGTACACACGTCGTCAGGCAATTGTCAGAAACACAGAAACACTGGATCGTTCTGACACACGCGTCTGTGAGTTTCTTGCCAGCGCTAGTGGTTAATAAACATCTATACACTTTTTCCACTGGCTACTATTTCTTTGCACTATAACCCCTTAATATACTTAATCCACTGCTCGATCCGTAGCATTGAAGATCAGCCTATCGAAATGTCACAATACGCGAGACATCTCTGCGCGATTTCAATCGCTGTTCCACAATTTCCTCCTTTATTTCCCTCCTGCAAATTAGACCTCGTCCACTACGACTAAGACTGGATCAAATGAAGCTCTCCTAATCTCTCTCTTGCTTCCATCTATTACTCTCGACATGCTCCACGGATACACGAAATATTCCCGAAATACTTAATCCACTGCTCGATCCGCAGCATTGAGGATCAGCCTAACGTAACGTCTCTATCCGCGCAGCACGTCGGAATGTCACAATACGCGAGACATCTCGGCATGATTTCAATCGCTATCCCGCTATTTCCTCTTTTCTTGCGCCTCCATGTCGGCTCTCGTCCGCGGAGATTTATATTCTAAGGACCAGAAGTTTTTGTAGTCGAGCGCCGGTTCGTCCCCGGCTTCGCTCCTTCCACCGGTGTCCTCGTCCAGCCGCGAAACATGGCTTTTCTTGCTCAAGACCGCCGACAATGCGTTGTACGTGTCTTCTTTACGCTCGCTCTTCTTCCTTTTCCCATCTCCTCCAGCGTCCGCGTCTTCCTTCAGCTTTCTAATAACGCCGTTCGTGAAATATCGGTTTCCCTTATCGTTTTTGAAGTAGAACCGCGGCGAATCCTCGTCGCTGTCCTCACTGTTCACCGGGGCCCCGCCATTCTTCGTCCCCTTGTTTACTTTAGCCCTAAATTCGCGTTGCCTGTGGCTCTCCTTGCCCGCCTCCGCGAGATCGTCGACCAGGTGGCTGGATCGACGAGATTTCGGTAAATCATCGAAAGTGTCCCGCGTCTCCGCGGAACCTCTTCGGCTATAGGCTCGTTCTTTGAACGCATTATCACTTTCGGATTCGTTAAAGTCGCCTGAAACTCGTTTCCCGTTCTTTCCGTACTTGGTCCGCGTCTCCTTTTCGAGCAGCTTCAACTTTTTCATTATCGGATCGTCCTTAAGAAATTCGTCTAGATCGAATGGCTTCCTGTACTCGTTTATGTCGAAAATTATGGGCCTCGACTGGCTGCCGGAGTCACCCTGTCGCTGTGTTTCCTCCGTGTCTCTGCGCGCCCCGTCTTCCTCTTGCGAGTTTACTGCTGGCTTCTTAAGGTCGGGGTTATTTAAACTGTCCTCGTTATTTATTTTCGCTCGGATATCTCCTTCGAGTTCATCGTTCTTTCTACGCTCGTCAGACACGTCTACGTTGGGCACAGCTTCTGGTTTCGAATTGTCTTTGGCAAATCTTGGCGAATCTTGTTCCGAATTTTTTGGAGATTTCTGCTCGTCGTTTTTATCAGGTTCGTTAATGGGATTTGTTAATGGCTCCTCTTCTGCGTTTTCCTCGGACTCGTTTGGAGATCTGGGAGATGATTCCGGCTCCGTTGACGAATCTGGATCTACGAAATCATCTTGTTTTCTTAGCTTATTTTTATTCCTTCGATCTTCCTCGTCTAGACTTTCTTCTCTGATGTCCGAGTAATCCGGCACCTCGACGTAAGGAATTTTGTTCGGGTCATAGTCCGGAATATCCGAGGTCGTCCTGTTCTCCGCATTTTTCTGATGATCCCGTATATTAATGTAACTTTTATCCTTTCGTTGCTCTTTAACCGAGCTCTGCAATTCGCTCGTATCCTTAAACTTTCCATTCGACGTGTACCCAGTAGTTTTGAGATCTACAGGCTTCTCTGACCCTGCGGAACCCCTGTCATCGTCGTTTCTCGTATTATTGTAATTTTTCAATCGCATTGTCGTCGTTCCTTCCGCTTTATCCGGCTCGAGGTTCTCGGTATCGTTGCGAATGGGAAATATTGGGATATAACTGTTCCTTTTTAATTCTTCGGACGGTGGTTCGGTCGAAGTGGTAATATACGATGGTTCCACCACGTCCAGGTCTCGTTCGTCCATCGTACGTTCCAAATTTTTATTTATACTCTCTGTCTGAGCCGTGTGGTTCAGTCGCTTTTGTTGCTCCTCGTAGCTGAGGTTAGGATGACGCTGTAGCTTTTCTGACGAAAGAATCAGTTCATCGAAACCCACGTAATTGGATTTCTTGCTTAAGGAACGCTTGGATCGTTCGATCATAATCCCATTTTGGAGATTGTGCAACGTCTGAACGATTTCGTCGTTTTCTCTAACCTGTCTACCTAAATTCGCGATAGAGGATATTGTTCCTTCAGAACCAAGTTTGGGGATCTGACTGGTGTCATTCAAGATGTTAACAGGGCTACTGTTCTTATATCTAGTTACTGTATCAGTATCATTTATGTTATTATCAGTATCTGCTGTCAGAGAATTGGTCCTTTCTTGGAAATTTTTATTCATTTTCGACAGCTTCGTGTTTCTGCTAGTCACCAGAGGCCTCGACGAAGTCAGGAGCGATTCGACAGATCTCACTCTACCAGTACCATTTCTGTTTGCGTTATTACCGGTATCTGGTGCCAGAGAATTGGTCCTCTTTTGGAAATTTTTATTCATTTTCGTCGACTGCTTCGCGTCTTCGCCTGTCGTCAGAGGTCTCCACGAAGTTATTAGCGATTCGACGGATCTGGTAGCAGGCGTTCCCGCGGCCTGAAAATTGCGAATCTCTGTTACCCTGACTCCTGCCTAGTTTCCTTTACCGGCTGCCTCGTTCGCGGATGAGATTGACGACGAGATGATCGCGAAGCTGACACGTGTCAACGATCCAATACGAAACGAATACTTCTTCAAGAAATATTCGCGGGGCTATTTTAACATCGTGCCTTCGATTGAACGAGTCGGTGAACAAGAAACGTAGGTGCTGCTTTTAACTACCCTGTAAATCATTCTCCCCGGAGGTAGTAAATTTTACGTGCCCGCCGCGTAACTCGCCGCGGTGAAATATTTACCGTGCCATTGCATAGAACAACGCTAGACCCGAAATGCCATTCGCGTTTCCCAACTGCACGGTATCGTTCGATAACGGATTTCAGCGAAAGAACGCGATAGAATGAGGGAGGTGAATTCACAAAACGAAGCTTCCATAAATGGCACTCTCGTTAATGTGACTTTATTCGTTCACGGTACTTATGTACAAGATACAATTACAAAAGTGATAGACCGCGAGTGTACAGTGGCTCAGAGGACACCGTTCCCCTTTCTTTCCCTTTCATCGTCGAAACGGTGTCGCCTCCGCGAGGAAACCCCATGGACCAGTGTGTCTACGACCGTAACTCTCGGTTACCGTTTCCCTGTTCACCTGAGCCATCGTGCACGCGTGTATATACATTCAGTAATACAATAATACTTGAAGCAAAACTAAGGTAAATGCTGTTTCACCGTACGATAGATTCACGCTCCACACCACGTTGCTTTCCTCTTACTCGAATACTAAAACTAAGAGAAGTTCGGGCGGACAGGGTGGAGGAGGAAAGGGTGGTACGCCTACAACGACGATAGAGAAAGAACGTACTGGTTCAGTAAATTATATACGTGAAGTAAGTCACATGGATATGAAGTAGATATGTATATATATAGTATCGTATAAATTACTATGTGCTTTAGCGCTAATACTAGTTGTTAACCCTCTCTCCGAGGCGATCGTTTAGGCCCATAAAGGGGTAGTTGCTTATGGCTCGACTTCCCAGTGGCTCGACTGGTTCGTGTTCGGGTGTTATTCGCTGTTAAGACTGCAAACGCGAAATTTTCGAACTTTATAACGTTAAACGACATGCAGGTCCTTAGGGACCGACGCTAGACTTTCCGTTCGGGCCTCACCCGGAAGGGCCCGTATGATGGCTAACTGCGACGTGATTGGAACAACACGCAAAACTGACGTGACGTTTAACGTGTTAAGAAAATTTTCAGGGAATCTTTAACGCGTTAAACGCCACACCGGTAGCTAGGGACCGGCGCTAAACTTTCCGTTCGGGCCTCGCCAATTCGTACGGCCCAGAAGGGCCCGCACGGCAGCTAATAGTGACGTGAACAGAACGACACGGGAAACTGGCGTCACGTTTAACGTGTTAAGAGAATTTTCAGAGAATCTTTAACGCGTTAAACGCCACGCCGGTAGCTAGGGACCGGCGCTAGACTATCCGTTCGGGCCTCGCCGGTCTCTACGGCCCGGAAGGGCCCACATGGCGGCTAACTGTGACGTGAACGGAACGGCACGTAAAACCGGCGTGGCGTTTAACGTGTTAAAATTGAAAATCGCGTTTGCAGCTTTGGCAGCGTGTTTCGAACAGTGTTGCTTACTATCTATGTGCTTGGTACGATACTTGCTGCGTTGGAGCTGTTCGTTTGGTAGACTGACTGAATAATTCGAATAAAATTTCGTTGTTGTTTTTCTTAGAAAATTCGAATTTATTCTTTCGTACAGCGCGTATAAAAATGGTGGATTCTCGGCTGAAGTCTCTACCGAAGGAACGCTTGTTTCGCAGTATACTTTCAGATATGCAATAAGTATCATTAATTTCTCGATATGTCCATTAAATATGAGATATAAACGGGCAGTGCCTTAGAGTGCTAGAACGTGCGCGATAGTGCGAGGGTGAACGAAACAATTTATTTCTTTTCTCTTCGTACATCGTTGTTAATGGGGTAACAATGGGTATGATGCATCGTTGTGATCTAACGAACACTATATAAAGCTAGAAGAAATTCTTACGGAAATTGCGAAATTTTCGATTATAGGTATTTTTCTTTATCCTTTTTTCTCGCGATCGAACGAACAAAATGGCGTCGTTCGAAAGATTATCGTCAGATCGCGATTCACCCTCGTGCATCGATGCTCCATACTTAGTCGTTGGTGCACGATTACTTTCTCAATCCCAGATACGAAGCAATGCCATTAATGCTTTCAAAGAAGAGTCGCAAAACCTGCTGTCTGTTGTATTGGTTCCGCACCTTTTCCGGTTTCGTTGGCCGTCTTGGTACATCAAGCAAGTGCTCCTCCACCAATCGCTACAGTACAATAGGTTTACATTTGTAGGTGCTCGTGCATCGTATAATCCTTCGTAGAATATCGCAGGGAACCTCTCTGCGTTCTCAAATTCGATATTTTTTTCCCTGTCTTTCATGCTTTCGAAATTAAAATTGGAATTTGGGATAGGCTATGTCTTTACGACCTCCTGCACCTCTTTCTTGTCATTTCTCTCTTTATTTCTGGGGAAGACTAGACAATAGACACTGCTGAAATACGTGCTACCCACCTTGATGCGATTTTATGGAAGGGGTGAACTTTTGCTACGTGCTATTATGTACATCGTGTGTAAGTTACGAAGAATAAATTAAGGACTCGATGCGGGATAGGTGGATAAGTGACAATGATGGAAGAATTTTGATGCTACTAATAGTCGTACTAGAATTCTGGGAGGACGTGACGATTGCAGGGTTGCGATGTTCCACTCGCGATACACGAGTGTATAAAAATATCACACACGATCGTTCTCTAATTCTACGTAATTCTACGTAAATTCGAATCGAAACACTCGGTATAATCTGTACATCGTCGATCAAGGTCCACGACACGAGCGTGTAGAAATTATCGCGAATCAACTAGTAATTTAAACCGGACGTTTGAAATTATTCAGATTCGCACGATGCTCGGATTCCGACAACCGCGAGATAAATAAAAATCGACCAAACGAATTTCTACGAGAATAATCCTGGTATCGGGGAAATTTGTCTAATCGAGCGAGACGCGAATTCAGAGAAAATGGCTGCCGGTCATAACGATAAGGTCGGAGTATTCGACAGGTATTCGCACTTAACACGCGACGGTCTACCATCGCGATATTCGCGTAAAATGAACACGAGTTCGTCTACTTTTCTATTAGATAACTGTACTCCAGAGGGAACTAACGGCAAACGAGTGAAGTTGAATGAAATGGAGTCGTTCGTTTCGCAACCTGTTAATCCGTGCAAATCGTGCAATCATTTGCAACTGGTCCCGACCGTGATACGAAACACAGCCACAGCTAAATGCTCTATTGTAGCCGTACTAGGTACTTGGAAAGCGATTATTAAAAGCAGTCGGCGTGGAAGTTGTTACTACGCGAACGCGTCCCTGTCGCGTATTGCATATTAACGCGTTACGCAACGCTCGTGTTTTTGCAACTTCTACGGCTCGAGTCTCCATCCCGTTCGACGATAATTACTGACATGTGTACGCAAAAGTTCGATGACGGTGTGCACCACGCCTTTCGTGAGGATCTGTCGTTAAAGATACGTTACAGAGTTCTGACCGAATCGGTAACACTTCGAAGCTTCCTACGCTTCGCAAACGTGGAAATTCTTAAGATTAATCTTCTATGGTTTTATCTTTACATTTATGTATATGTATATATATATATATATATGTTTACGTATAAAAAAAGTATATAAAAAAAGAAGATAACGTAACAGAGAGAGAAAGAGATAGAAGAAAAAAAAGAGACTATGACGAGATCATAATTTATACCTTCGAACGAATATAAATTATAATTCTAGCCTGGCAATAAATTAAATGTCTCCACGAGTATTCGTCTAATTAATTAAGGTCGCTAGAGGGGTCTATCCGGATGCTACCACTGTATTACGTTCGCCTGCCTCTGTGTCCCTAAGCTGATTCGAAATGCAACATGCAGACGCGTCTATAGTTCGCTATGCTACAGTACCGTAATAGTGTCTCGGGTAAAAGGGGTGCCTAAGGGTCGTGCTTCTTGGCTCGTGACTGTTGTCGACTACGTGGTGGTGTTCGTCTAGGCGGTAGGTTTCTAAATTTTACGTCTAAAAAACAGCCTGTTTACTTTCCGTACGCCTGGTACTTGTCCTCTAGATTACTCACGTATTGAGCGTGATTCGCGGTCGGGAATTCCGCCCATTTGCTCAGGTCCATGCTCGGCAGGATACCACTTCGGCAGGGTACTCGTGGGTTTCTGCAAGAGGGACGACGAATCGAGTTATCTCGCAAATCTCTCGATCGTTTCACGTGCAAACGAAGTTTAAGTCGGACGAATGGCGGCGTTCGAGGAAGACGAGAAAACGAAGCGAACACTAGGTTTCCGACGAAATCACTGATCTCGCAGATTCTCGTGACTTCGATTATTCGAAGTGCACAGACTTATCGAGATAATGTAATTATGTACAGTGCTGGACAAAAGTATGGGCACAGCTTGGTTGCTGTGGTACGAGGGTTTATAACTACCGAACAAATTGATTTGAAGCAAAAACTTTTTGACGTATTCATTTATACTATACTATACTGGAATAGATAATAAATGAATATGTCAAAAAATTTTTATTCTATACTAGAATAAATAATAAATGAATATGTCAAAGAGTCTATCTTAAGTCGATCCACCCAAAAACGATTCCTACATACAGCGCTGGACAAAAGTATTGGCACAGCATGATTATTGTGGTACAAATGCTTGTAACTACTAAAAAAATTGATTTGCAGGAAAAACTTTTTGACATATTCATTTACTATCTATACTGGAATAGATAATAAATGAATATGTCAAAAAATTTTCATTCTATACTAGCATAAATAATAAATGAATATGTCAAAAAATTTTTATTCTATATTAGCATAAATAATAAATGAGTATGTCAAAGAGTCTATCTTAAGTCGATCCACCCAAAAACGATTCCTACATACAGTGCTGGACTAAAGTATTGGCTCAGTATAGTTGTTGCAACACAAGTGCTTATAACTACTAAAAAAATTGATTTGCAAGATTTACTTTTTGACATATTCATTTACTATCTATTCTAGTATAGATATTCAATAGAATAGATAATAAATGAATATGTCAAAAAGTCTATCTTAAGTCGATCCACCCAAAAACGATTCCTACATATAGTGCTGGACTAAAGTATTGGCTCAGTATAGTTGTTGCAACACAAGTGCTTATAACTACTAAAAAAATTCATTTGCAAGATTTACTTTTTGACATATTCATTTACTATCTATTCTAGTATAGATATTCTAGTATAGATATTCAATAGAATAGATAATAAATGAATATGTCAAAAAGTCTATCTTAAGTCCATCCACCCAAAAACGATTCCTACATACAGTGCAAGATAAAAGTATTGGCACAGCATGATTGCTGTGGTACAAATGTTTATAACTACTAAGTAGATTGATTTGCAAGATTTACTTTTTGACATATTCATTTATTATCTATTCTAGTATAGAATTCTATCTAATATAAAGTTTTTATTCTATACTAGAATATGCCCACAGTAGTCAAAGGGTTAAAACTGACTCTTACAACTGACTTTCATAAACTGACACTCTAAACTGAAACTGATAGACTGCCCTTCCAAAACTGTCTCACTGTCTTTGCAAAATTATCCTCTCACGCCCTTACATTTTGACTTTTAACAATTCTGTACTCTTTCATACTCAGGCTTTCTTTCTCATTCATACCCTTTCCCACGCAACCTCGGTGGGCCAGGTACTTCAACCACTCTGACGCATCCCTAAATTTTCACTGGATTCTATCATAAACATTCCTTGCAGTCAATCCTCTTGCACATGGTCACTTTCGTTCTAAGCCCAAACACTCTTGACTTTCTTTCAGGGCCGTCCTCGTTCCATTCCTACATATTTATTTATTTTCATCGTACCATTTTAATTATTATTCAGTCGTCATTTGATAAAATTTCGAAGATCGATTAATATTCCAAATTTAAGATCGAAGTCAGATAATTCTAAACTGCGTTAATTACTATACGATTTCTTATTTACTGCTCAAAAAGTATCGTCAGTTTTATAGCAGAAAATCTTTGAACTCCTACTATTCTATACTTAAAAAATCGTCGAGTGCAAAGGGTTAATCGTGACTAAAAGTTTGGCCAAAGACGAAACGCGATGGTGTAGGTGTTACTTAATCACCGTATAAAAATTCACAATAGCGATTGCAGGAAGTAGCTTGTAACAAAACCTTTGCCATAAACGCGAGAGGAAAAAATATCCCGAGAACTTCGTCGTGCCTCTAAAACCTCCATTCGTGGATAAATCACGAGACTTGTCTCGTTATACAACAAGATTAAGCGTCACTTTCGTTCTCTGCTTCCCCATTCTCATCTGTCAATGACGACGCGGTCTCTAATTACACCTCTTAAATCGATATACGATCTCCAACCAGCTTTCAAATCTTTTTTCCAGAAACCTCTTTGCCCGACATCTTACTTACATTTCGTGATCGGGCAACACCATGGGATAGATCTGTATGGTATCGATGAGGTCCGTATTGTCGCAGATCACTCTGGCGAGCTTCACTTTCCGGATCTCGTTCAGTTGGTCTGTAAGAACAAAGTCTCTGTAGCTGTGGAACACTATGAACCGACGATCATTTCCGTCCTCTGATCTAACTGGTCAGAGTCCTTGAATTTATAGCGTCTGTTCGAGTTTCGCGATTGGAAAGGTTCGTTCCTTACCGAGAGTGAAGGACGATGGCTGGTTAGGCAGCTCGTACCAAAATCTGTCGCCTCGACGGGAATAGCTGAATTGCGTGGCGATTACACAGGCGAAGGTTGGCCCGAGCATGCTACCCGGAAGTGGCCTCTCCGACACGCCGCCGGACCACAGATCGACGTCAGCTGGATGCCTAAATCGAATCGAGATTCGCACCGTTATTTCCGCGAATGTTATATTCAACATGCCGAAACGATTATCGCGAACGTGTTTCGGATATGATTCATAGTTGGAAATGAACGGATCTAAAATTAGCACCACGCTTTGAATTATTTATGAGCTTATGGCGTTCCACGCTGAGCTCCGAAATTGTTGGAATTCGTCTATTCCTTTGCTTGGAACGTCGCGTGGTGTTTGATCCGAGGATGGACACGTGGATAGTACTCACTCGAAGATCGAGTTGTAGCGTCTGATGGTCTCGTTTGGCATGGAACCGAACAGGTCGTCGAAGGTTTCTGCCCAGGGTAGGCCGCAGTATTTCCTAAGGAGATCGTAAATCGGATCGTTAATATCTTCATCAAAATTGTATAATATATCGTAGGATACTATTTCGGGATTTCTTATTTTAGAAAACCGATAGATGAGCTATGCGTGACATTTTTCTAGAAGGAAATCGAAACAGATACCGTTATGAAAGGCTATTTTTGGTAGCAAAGCCAAGTTGCGCGGTCTCTACGGGGAGGAGGAACGCGGGTCAACGAAATCGTAATCGTCGCGGGGGGCGAATCGCGAATCCGGAAAGCGACGTGCTTTTTATGGGAGCAAATCGCTAATGGGCTGAATCATATCGGCGAATTAGCGATTGGAAAAAGCACGCCATCGAGCTTTGCGAAAAGCATAAAAACAGGACCCCGACGACACAGGCAGTGTCCTGAGCGAAGAAGCGTTGAAGAGTCCTCGTAGGAATAGATCGTGACCGGCACGGGCGTGAGTCGTTCGGTGTTGGAGAGAGTCGAATTAGAGTGTGTTTCCGTGTGTTATAGTTACGTTATTTCAGTGTTCTTTTCTTGCGTTAAATTAGTTTTCCGAGTTTAGCGTTCGTATTATTCCGTTCGTATTGTTCTGTCTGTTTTCGGTGTCTCAAACCTTTCGCGCAGACCCGATATTCCTTCGATTAAACGAGGAGCATATAAATATTTAATTCCTGTACGCTGAAGACAATAACACCTGTTTCTCGGCATCCTAAAATATATAGCCTA